CGACGATGAAGTCCAAGTTGTGTCTGGACTTCTAGGAAATTCCTCTGATGATGAAGAAGACAGTGATGAAGAAAAGTACGTCACCAAAGGAGTTCTAGGTCTCGAGGCTCCGAAGAAGTTGTTTCCAAAGGCATTGACTAAGGAAGAGAAGAGGATATGGTCCTCAACCTCTTGGCCATCCTCTTTACCAGACGTTTTTCAAAGGGCTATTCAAATGGCCAAAGCCAAATCTTTCCTCACAGCTCAAGCCTTCCGAGCCACTCCTTCTATGCTCCCACCTATTCCGGCTCCGAAAATTGTTGCCATTGACCAGGGCTCTCCACTCCGGATCCCTGATGACATTCCGGAAGATCCTCTTCCAAACCCCACTCTGGAATATGTGGTGGATGAAAATATGCAGCTCATCATGGCCGCTCTGAAAAGAGAAAAAGGCAAAATGCCAATAACTGTTGAACAACAAGCCTTCCACTCCGGGCATCCTCTCAAGCAAAAACAAGGATGGTCTCAGGAGGAAATCAACAAGGCATTAGAAGACAGCATCCGGATCCAAGCTCTTAAGGATAATCCTGATCCGATGTGTGGGATATCTCCTCTTTGCCGTGAAGGCATACTCCGTGATCAAGAAATTGTTCCGTATGTGTACTACGATGTTCCCACTAACGATTCCGAACAGCTCGATCTTCCTCTCTCTCTCTCCATACAGCAAGTACTACATCAAATTTGCTCCTCTTCACCCAAATGACAACCCGGAAGTGATCCTCCGGACCGAAAAAGAAAGGCTTGAAACATTCTACTCCAAGAATGCTCAACCGTTTAAGGAAGTATGGACTAGAAAAAGAATCACCAAAGTCCATGGATTTGAAAGAAAAATCCTAGTGAAATTGGAACTCAACTGCCCACTATTTCGATTTCACGTCTTCCGGAACAAGCCTACATACCGAACCATTACTGATGCGGACTTCTCCTTGATGAATCCGAACGACATTCTGACTCTGGCTGCTCACTTTAGAAGAATGCAAAACAACGATATCAGCATGGGTGCCTTTCATGCTGCTCTAAGCTTCCTAAAAGATTACGTCGCGGAATTCTGCAGATGCGACTATGAGTTGGCTCATCTCTACGGAACTGAAGACTTCGTTGCGAAGATCACTTTTGTTCTTCCGGAAGCTGAATTACTTGAAGGTGGTCCAATCGATGACCCAGTTCTAGGGTTTGTCTACACTACCAAGAAGACAAACAAGAAGGACTTTTTTCGTGTCCTTGACAAACACCTAGTCACAACCAAAGCACTTTGGAAGTTCATCTCTCGTGCATCAAAGTCTAAAGCTCTGGAAAAGGTCAAAGCAAAGTTTGTAAGTCAACTGGCCTGGTACATTGAAGTCAGAGAATGGTTGTTCTGAGCTTACACCTTCATCAAGGAAGAAGCAGTATAATTGAATGGATTGCTAAGTTCACTTAGGGGGAGATTGTTGGAACCTGAAAGTGAACCTCTAGCAATCCTAAGTCTGAATTCTGAAGTACTCGTGTTCCGAAACAAATGGTCCGGAGTCAATTGTGAAGAGTGGTCTGGAATCTGTCCGGACCAGAAGAGAAGAAGATGAGAAGCTGAAGGCATTCCGGAATGATTCTCATGTCCGGAATGAATGCTGATCTGGAGTCACAATATTTTATCTTTGTACATTTATTAAGTTTGTCTTTGTATTGATGTGACGTTTCATAGGACTTAGTCTTTTGTAATATTAGACAATCAGAATGTCGATAACATTTCTATTGTCAGGTCCTATGTAAGTTTTCTAGTTCATTCACTGTAACCTTCAATCCTATTTATAGGAGCTTTCAATGCAAAGTCAAATGCGGATCATTCACTCAACTTTTGGCATTTACTAAGTTATTTCAAACTTCTTTCAAACATTCTTCTTGTTCTTCATTTATTAGCTTTACATTGATCATTTGTTCTCATTCTTCATTTAATGACTTGATCATTTGTTGAATATATTAACTAAGACTTGACTGATCTTTCTAGTCTTGACTAGAACATTTATTAGCAAACAGACATTGATCTTAAGCATTCACTCAAGGTTTGAGTTCTCAATCCTTGTCCCTGCGCATCAGATCTATTTGTTCTCTCAATATGAAATTAGATGCAAAAATATTTATTTTGGCAACGAGTTAACTACATCCCACATCGCCCCATTACTGAAACTTAGCCAACATTCTCTTCTATATAAGCTCTCCACACTCTTTCTTTCTATTATTTCAAAAATGTATTCTATCATAATTTCTTTATATAAACGCATTCTGTTAGAATGTCTTTGAGAATGTTTGTTAACAGCAAGTATATTTTGTTTAACGGGAAATACTTCAATGTATTCTGTCAGAATTTATTTATACTTCAATGGTTTATATATTATAATTGTTTTTTTTTCTTAGTCACCTTTTGTGTTAACATGATCTTTTCATGTATTTATATTTCAAATATTTTGTTCGTTGTGTATATTATTGATAACACAAATTCTTTAAGAATATTCAAAACCATTCTGCAAAAATAGTTTATTTTGTAAGAATATTATTGCTGTATTTTGATAGAATTGTAGTTAATTATTTATATGTTTAATGTGCAGTTGTTACAAGTGTATCACTATAAAATATTTGGCAATGAATTTCTGATAGAAATGGCTTGAAGAATGGCTTGAAGACCTGATGGGAAAGGCTTGAAGAATGATCACACTCGTTGTTTAAGAATGTTGTTATTTTTTAAGAATTACACTTGTTATTCTTTCAGAATGTTATTATTATTCAATGAATCACAGTCATACAATGTAATTATTTGGTATATTATTAATTCAAGAATCGATTTTGTGTAGTCTTTCAGAATGTATTTACTAATTTATGGTTGGCATTCTGTCATTCTGACAGAATAAAATCGAAAAATATATTTACTAGTTTATGGTTTGCATTTTATCATTCTGATAGAATAAAATCGACTTTTTAAATTTCAATTAATTTAAAATATTCAGATTTTTAAAAATAAAGGAGGTAGCTATCCCTAAATATCTGAAAATTTTCTTTTTTAATATAAGTTAATTGACTAAAATGCCCTTATGCTGAAATTTATGTGATTATATGATACATGTTATCATATTCTAATAACATACACCCTCAGATCATGACATTTGATTCTATTCCATCCGGTGGTCCAGATCTGTACATTCTTGCACATAATAGTTAGTAAAAACAAAATAACATATATATATATATATATATATATATATATATATATATATATATATATATATATATATCTCTCTCTCTCTATCTCTATAATATATATATATATATATATATATAATATATAATATATATATATATATATATATATATATATATATATATTGATCAATGATAAATGGTCAAGTAAATAATACTTAGATGGTAAGTAATTATAAATTTCTTTTTAATTGAAAGAGCTCTTAATTTCTTTTAAGAAATACACAGAATCATGCTTAAAATATGCATTGTAGCAAAAGCACATCCAATATTTATTTCACTCGTCTAACAATATACTTGTTATGCCAAAAAAAATTACACTACCTAAATATAATTCGATAAAAAGGGTAAAAAAATAAACTTTTGGGTCAAGCCTTATTAAACGTCAAAAATGTCGGAACATTGGTAAAAACATAATATCATTGTGTAATTTCTATAAACTTAAATATTTAATATAATGGTCAACATGCCAGACTATATGGGATTGTTGAAACTTCAATTATTCAAAATCATAAAAAAAAAAAAGTTACATGCTTACATGTTGAAAGGAGTCAACACTCAACACGGTCGAGTTTGGTTTAAAAAGAATGTTTCTAAGAAAAAAACTTTATGTTCCTAAAACCGTTTTTCAATTGTTTCGGTTTTTAATTTTTGATTTATACTTTTGTATAAATCATGCTGATAAAAATTAAAATAAAAAAAAAACAATAATACACCAAAATAACCTTTAAATTGAAGTTAAAGGATAAAAACATTTAATTTAAAGACATGTTCGAACTCTTCGTCCTTGTAAAAGTTGAACAACGATGTGATAAATCTATGTTTGATGTACTAGCTGAAAAACTAATTTATATTCTAACCAATAAAAAATGAAGTTTGGTAAAAACTAGCCGATAAGCTAGATGTAAGATATAAAATAATATAAAAAGACATTTAGAAAAAGTATGTTTTTGTATTAATTAAATGTATATTTATGAAATAAAAAGAAGTCCTGAAAAGCTGCTATAGATAACTTTTCAAGAAGCTGACTTATAAACTAATTTATAAGCTACTTTCTGGTTTACCAAACATGACAGGTCAAAAAAAACTCAATAAATAAATTAGCTGTGATGCGGCAAAAACAGCGTAAAATGTATTACAGAAAACAACATTTCGAATGTTCATTTCGTTTAAGTGAATTCGCTTTTTATAACAACAAAAACCAAATGGACTTAAATACGTCACACGAATTTAGTTCTCTTCATATTCTCGTGCCTAAAACTCAAATTATCATCTTTCAGATTATCCCGAAGAGTTATTTCGTGATGCCCAGACATATAATGAAAGTAAACTTACATGATCGAATATCAAACACTAAATTGTGCAAAATTTGTTACTAAATCTATAATGATCGAAACAACAATGATAGAAGATCAACACGTAACCATTGACAACAAAAACCTGATTAATGCGACAAGAAATAACATACTTTCATTTTATTTGTGTATGTAGGTTGTGGCGATCCTATTTCTATTTCTTTTTAGACAAAATTACATAAATGGTCCTTGTGGTTGACAAAATCGACCAACTCTAGTCCTTAGATAGATGGTCCCTGTGGTTTCAAAATTTTGCAAAGACGGTCCTTTTGGCAAACGGTGTTAACTTTTCCAGTTAAGTCCTTTGTGAAATGACACGTTTTCCCTTCTTGCCATAAGGACCATTTATGTAATTTCAATATTTTTCTTATTAAGACATCATATCTATCAAAAATCAATTTTTTTACGATTATATGTCAAAAAAAACTTGTAGAAAATTAGTCAACAAGAAGATATAGCAAAAGTAAGACAAGTTGCATACCTTCAATGAATTTCCAGATGAAGATATGAAACTTGGAAAACCGATATCATACGAAATCCTCCCATCAGGTTTATACAATCCAAAGTTCCTTTCAGAAGTGGGCCCCGGCTTTGAATTCTCATTAAATAAAGCAAAAATATACGCCTTCAATACAAAATTCGGTCTCCTTGGAGTCCCTTTTCTTTTAGCAAGCCTTTTACGCAAATTATAATTATAAATCCTTGCATTTTTCAATGTTGCTACACCTTCATTTAAATCTCCATCAGAAGCCCAACCTGTTTCTGTAACTATAACCTCCATTTTATCAAATCCAGCATCTTCAAGAGCAGCATAAGTTGCATCAATTTGAGCATCAAGCATGTTGTCATAATGGAGGTTGACTTTTTTGTCATATATTCCATTAGTTGGGTTAAACAGAGCATAATTTATATCAATATGATCAGGGTTACCCATGTAAGCTAAAAAAGGGTATGCATTTAGACAAAAAGGGGAACCGATTTGTGAAAATAAGTTCAATATCTTCTTCATGTTTTGAGCAATATCTTCTTTGAATGTACATGAAGATGGAGGATATGAAGTCCCAAACACATTTTGTGAATGTGCAGTTGATATTTGAACCACTTTGTGTAATTTAAGTTTTTTTGTAGCATTGTAAATGTTTTTAACAGCATCAAAAAGAGAATCTTGAAGATCTAAATCATTACTTCCAAGAATTTCATTTCCAACTGCAATCCCTACTATATGTGTTTTGGGAAAGTATGCATGAACATTTTGTTTTACCCAATTGAGGGCATGATCGGGATTTTCACTCATTTCTTTGACAAATTCATTCGGAAGTCCAATCACTAAATCCAACCCACTTCCACTAAATGCATCAAGAACACTGTGATCAGCATCGTATATTCTGACATTTTTTATTTTAGAAGCTTTAAGGAGTTTAACAACTTCATTAGGAGAAGGGATGTTATCTGCTAATCTTCCATAGTTTATACCATAGGTTCCTGTGAAAGCTTTAGCTGTTACATACCCTGTGAGAAAGATAAAGGGGTGAAGATTTATAGTAGAAATTATTCAATTAACACTCTTTATCACATTACAACATAATCATTCAAATTTTCCGATTAAACATTCAAATTCGCATACGCACAATCAGTTTTGCATACAAAGGATTAAACGACTATGTAGCTGAGGTTGATTTCACATCGAGACAACGATTTACATTTAACAATTTGAACTTCAGTTCCAATTACTGAAGTTAAAGAAGTGTCACTGTTTGTTAGCTCGCCGATTCAAATTTCAATCAAACAAAATCGAATAAAACACAGAAACAAACGATTACCCTTTTAATTACTATATGCATTAAATTGATATGAACATCAATTTTAACGTCAAGTTAATAGCATTCAAGAATCGATGAATGAAAACAATAATTAAAAGGGGAAAATTATTACCTTTTTGAATAAAAAAGACCAAAAGCAGAAGAAGATACCGACAAAAGGATCTCGAAATCTTCATTGCATCGGAGTCAGCAAAATGACTCCGACGCCGTTACTTTTGATCCTGCAACTCAGCCATGCCATGAGATTAATTAACAGATTCCTTCCTCAGTTCCTCTCTACTCTACACACCATCTCTTACTCTGTATACATGTTCGTACACGCTTCTCTTTGTATAAGAGTATACTAATAAGTTCTTCTTTCAAGAATCGTGGGGATCATGTGCAGTGGCTCCGGCGACGGGGGCGGCGGTGTACGGCGGAAGAAGGGGCTTTTGGCGGTTTTCTCAGTGGGCACAATTTATAGTGTAGAGTGTAGAGTGTAGAATTTTTTTTCCAATTTTGTGTCGATCAATAGCCACATAGCATATTATATGGCCTTATATTCCCACATTATATTTTTTTACTACCCTTGATTAGATATGTTTTTGCAAATCAGTCCCTCCTGTTTAAAATATATCCCTTTTGGGAGAAAATTATGTTGTGAAACTTAATGTCAAATATGTTAAAAAGAACTTATTCCAAAATTATAAAATTTGACAAAATCTATCGGTTCTTCCTATTGGGATGCCTAAAATCTTTTGTAGTAAGTTTCAATTTTCAAACTATCTTTCTGATTATAAATTAGTTGACATATGTAGTTGTATCATATTAAATAATTAAAAATAACTTGTATTTTTTTTATATTAGTCAATAAAAATATTTAGTATGAGTCAATCATATATGTCAAGAGATGACAAGTCAAAAAATTTAATCAAATTTTTTTTGAACTTCACTTTTATGGGGTCATAACTTTTATAATCCACTTTTCAAAAATCTTTTAAGATGTCAAAAAAGGAAAAACATACACATAAAACCTTTGTTTTAAAGGATAAAACATTATGTTTTATAAAAAACTATATGATATAAATTAATAGACAGAGATATAATATATTTTTAGCTTGTTAACATAAAATGACTAAATCAATTCTTCTTTTTTGTATATTGTGAACTGAAATTGACTACCAAATGACTTAATAGCAAGGTTTTAAAAAGCTCGTTATAGCGCGTCATGGCTCTAAGGCTTGTACTTGACGCCAAATTTTAATAAAATGTTGACTTAAATCATATATGTATATAAAAATGAATAATATATATATATATATATATATATATATATATATATATATATATATATAATATATATATATAATTGCCGATTTAAGTCACACATTACCAATAACGTGGCTCGTAAAAACGTGACGTTTGATATTACTGTCAAGTTACACATTATCAAACTTGACGTTTGATATATATATATATATATATTATATATATATTATATATATATATATATATCTATATATATTATATATATAATATATATTATATATAATTGCCGCTTTAAGTCACACATTACCAATAACGTGGCTCGTAAAAACTTGACGTTTGATATTACTGTCAAGTTACGTCTAACGTTATTTAAAACCTTACTTAATAGCCTAAAAGTACCTAAAGTTTTTGTAAATGTCTCTATCAGCCTATATGGTAAGAGTTTAAAGCATATTTGAAACGAAAACCATAGATTTACGAGTATATTAGTGGATATGCGAGTTAGTTCTTATAATGAAAACAACTAGAATTTGGCTATACATAATTTGATAATTTGATAAGTAGTATTGAAATGTTGATGACATTATTGTATAGGGGACGTTTGGGTAACTAGAAAAAGAGCATGGGTTCTATTTGCAATTACCATTTCTAATCAAAATCATGACGACATACCAAAAGTTTATCCTCCCCCTTCCCGGCTCCCCCCTCCTTTTTTTTATTCTTTTTTTTCACCAACTAAACCAAAGTTGATATATCAATTTTATTAGTAAAATTTACAAAAAAAAATTCAAAATTTTGGTTCATTTAACATTTTAGTCTTAAGTTAATTTTTTATTTATGAAAAATTTCTAAAAACCGATAAAAATTTGCATTTTGATGTTTTTTGACCTGTTGAAACCGACAACAAATTAATTTGTGACTATTTCGTAAACTGATCCAAATATTGAGATTTTTTTACAAACAAAAAAATTTTAGGTCAGTTTACAAAATAGTCTTAAATTAATTTGTTACCGGATCCATCCGGTTAAAAAAAATCAAAATGCAAACTATTGTCGGTTTTTAAGACTTTTTTCGTAAAATAAATTAATTTATAACTAAAACATAAACTGAGCCAAAATTTTAGATTTGCCATAATAGATTATTTAAAATTATAAATCAAACTGAATGTTATAGTTTTTTTAAAACGGTGTTATATGTATTTTGAATTTTATAGTAATGTTAAGACAATTATTTTGTTGTATAGGACTTTTGAAAAATAAATATTTATATAAGATAAATGACTAGTATAGTCGTACGTTATTCGAATTGTTTATAGATCATAATAAATCATACCTTCTTATACATATTATATTAAGTTAAAGGTGCTTTAACATCGATCACAAAATGGTAGTTATGAAGAAAAGAATCTTATGACATTTTTCTTCTAATTTTTAAAATATACTTTCATGTTTGTCAAGGTTTGTAAAGTAATATACTGTTTTATAGTTATAAGAAGTTAAGAACGAAGTAAGTTCACTTATATCCTAAGATTATTATTTAAATTTAGACAAAATTGCAAAAATAGTCAATGTGGTATGCATTTTTTTGAGGTTTTTAATCCAAACACGATTTTTTTGGATTGGTGGTCATTTTAAGGTAGTTTGCTTGTAATTTTGGTCATTCGATTAACTGAAAAGACTAAATTGCCCTTATTATATTTATTTTCCATTTTTCTTTTTTTCCTATATATATATTATATAAGATATCAATATATATATATATTATATATATCTATATATATATATATATATATATAATAAAAAATGGGCCCACATACTCTCTCTCTCTCTCTCTCTCTCTCCTCTCTCTCTCTCTCTCTCTCTCTCTCTCTCTCTCTCTCTCTCTCTCTCTCTCTCTCTCTCGGCTAAAATAAGAGTCAACTACCCTTCACGGGCAGTATTAGCCCCCTCCTTCAAACATAGCAGCCCCAAACACCGCCATGTGCGTTGTTACTACTCGATGCCAAAAACAGCCCCGACGAGGGCATTGCATCCGAGAGGAGGCCACCGAAAACACCAGCTGCCCACCTCGTTTCACCGCCCTTCAAAGCCCTCTTTTGCCACTATTTTCTTCTCTACATCATGACCACTATTTTCTTCTCTACATCGTCTCCATTCACAGTCTGCAAACCCATTCTGGTGAATAACTTTTCGATATTTTATTGGAGATCCTCATCACACATCGATTTCATCCATGGGTATGTGTTTCAAGTTTGTATATCAATAGCAATTTCAGACACCAACAATTTTCCTGGATTAAATAGTTGAGGATTATGATTATAGGGTTTTCTCGATGTTCTTCATCTTGATCTCATACTCTAGATTTTGCTCAAATTAATGATTAACAATATATATTGAAGCTGGATTGTGGGATAAATTTGTTAATTGATTGTTGTGGGTGATTTAATATATAACAAGAAGATTGATTATGGAACCAATTTTCTAGAAATCGGTTGTTGATGATCTTTCACTGGGGTGTTCTTGACCATTTTGCATCTGGGTCTCGATCGTATTTCTGATTTGTATGTGTGAGAGAGATAGAGATAGAGAGAGAGAGAGATAGAGAGAGAGAGAGAGCTGAAAGCTGATTCGTAGGGATGGAGCTCTAAGACTAATCAGAAGTGGTTGTCGGTGGTCGATAGAGCTCCTGGTTTCAATCCAAAATGGTTCCAGATGTCCTCCTTTCTTCTACTATACATGATCATGGTATTAAAAAGAAAAATTGTACAGATGGTTGCCGGTGGAGCTCCTGGTTTTCAATTAAGTTCAGAGAAAGAGAACAGGAAATATGAAGAAGAAGAATTGTTCTTTCTTGGTAAAAAAGAATAGAGAGAAAGAGATAGAATATGGTGTGGGCCCTATTTTATTATAATAATAAAACATTAAATTAAATAGAAAAGTACATGAAAAATATATCAAGATGGCAATTTAGTTATTTCAAATTTCGGAGGGACCATTTCCACATAGAAACATGGCCAAAATGACCACCAATCTAAAGAAGTCGTGGTTTGGACTAAAACCCTAGAAAAATGCATACCATATGGACCATTTTTGTAGTTTTGTCCTAAATTTATGATTTATTTAAAATTATAATTTTATAGGGCTTAACTTTTTAAATTCTGTCTTATAAAATAGACAAATCTGCAAGATTGGTCCCTGTGGTATTCAAAAAAACTTTGGATGGGATCCAAAAACTTTTTCACTTGCATAGAATGTCCAAAATCAAGATTTTTTTTATGTTTTTAGTCCCTGGAGAACTTGAAAAGACGATTATGCCCTTTAAATTTCTTTTTTTTCCTTTTTCTATAATTATTTTAATGATATTTCGATTTAAGAAAAAAGAAAAAAAAATTAAGAGGAGCCACCACCCACCCTACCGTACTCTCTCTCTCTCTCCCTTTCACTCTGTCACTCACACATACCCACACACTTCGTCTTCTTCCCTGTTGTGTGACAACTAGAAAATTTTTGGTCAAACCAAGTCTAAGAGGTCTTGTGTATAAGTGTATCCACGATATATATCTATGTAAATTTGATACAATAACAATCATTTAAAAACCAAGAAGGAAACATTATACGATTTAGTATATATATATATATATATATATATATATATATATATATATATATATATATATATATATATATATATATATACTTGAAAAGTCCAATGTTAGTAATAAACACATAAAAGTCTAGCAAGCAAATTAATTGATAAAAATCATGGAACTGAGAACACTACTTTGTAGTTTAGGCCTAGGACCCCACTCACCAAGTGATTTCGGTTTTTTAAGGCCGTAATCACCATCCTAGAACATCACTAAGGCCGAGAATTCCAAAGGTAAACCCACTAAGGCCGAAATCATAGTAGTAAGGGGAGTTAGGACCGAAATCACCAAGGGAAAAGGGTGATTTCGGCCCATACATGTCCGAAAACACTCTCTTTGACTCCTTTCTAAATAGATTTCGGTTTAGGAAGGAGAAGATAAGGTTTGACTTTAATATGTGATGTCCCATCCTATTTTCCCATGCAAACTCACCAGTATCCCACGCAATTAACCACCAAATATCCATGAATTAACCTACAAATAACCAAGTTAATATCCTCCATATAATCCATTAAACAGCATAACACTCTTCCATCCCTTTTTATTCACGGCAGTAAGCACATCCAAGAACCCCACTTTCATTTCCCTTAGCTACCATTCCAAAACTCTCTTAAA